TTCATGAAGCACACACAACTATCAATAGCCAAATCAATCAAGCAGAAGAAAAGATACCAGAGATTGAAAATCAACTCAATGAAATGAAGAAAACAAGTTTAGAGAAAAACAGAGTGAAAAGAAATGAACAAAGTCTCTAAGAAAATAGGACTATGTGAAAAGACCAAATCTACGTTTGATTGGTGTACCTGAAAGTGACAAGGGGAATGGAACCAAATTGGAAAACACTCTTCAGAATATTATCCAGGAGAACTTCCCCAACCTAGCAAATGTTAAGGGCACTCAGAAAGAGGGGTCAGGTTACCCACAAAGGGAAGCCCATCAGACTAACAGCAGATCTCTCTGCAGAAACCCTACAAGCCAGAAGACAGTGGGGGCCAATATTCAACATTCTTAAAGAAAAGAATTTTCAACCAAGAATTTCATATCCAGCCAAACTAAGCTTCATAAGTGAGGGAGAAATAAAATCCTTTACACACAAGCAAATGCTGAGAGATTTTGTCACCATCAGGCCTGCCTTACAAGAGCTCCTGAAGGAAGCACTAAACATGGAAACCAGTACCAGTCACTGCAAAAACATTCCAAATTGTAAAGACCATTGATGCCATGAAGAAACTTTATCAACTAACAGGCAAAATAGCCAGCTAGCATCATAATGACAGGATCAAATTCACACATAACAATATTAACCTTAAATGTAAATGGGCCAAATGCCCCAATTGAAAGACACAGGGTGGAAAATTGGATAAAGAGTCAAGACCAATTAGTATGCTGTATTCAGGAGACCCATATCATGTGCAAAGACACAGGCTTAAAATAAAGGGATGGAGGAATATTTACCAAGAAAAAAAACAGGGGTTGCAATCTTAGTCTCTGATAAAACAGACTTTAAACCACAAAGATCAAAAGAGAAAAAGAAGGGCATTAAATAATGGTAAATGGATCAATGCAACAAGAGGAGCTAACTATCCTAAATATATATGCACCCAATACAGGATAACCCAGATTTATAAAGCAATTTCAAAAAGACCTACAAAGAGACTTAGACTTCCACTCAATAATAGTGGGAGACTTTAATACCCCACTGTTGATATCAGACAGATAAACGAGACAGAAAATTAACAAGGATATCCAGGACGTGAACTCAGCTCTGGACCAAGCAGACCTAATATCTACAGAACTCTCCACCCCAAATCCACAGACTATACATTCTTCTCAGCACCACATCACATTTATTCTAAAACTGACTACATAATTGGAAGTCAAACACTCCTCTGCAAGTGCAAAAGAAAGGAAATCATAACAAACAGTCCTAGAAAACAGTGCAATCAAATTAGAACTCAGGATTAAGAAACTCACTAAAAATCACACAACTACATGGAAACTAAACCACTTGCTCCTGAATGACTACTGGCTAAATAACAAAATGAAGGCAGAAATAATGATGTTCTTTGAAACCAATGAGAACAAAGACACAGCATACCAGAATCTCTGGGACACAGCCAAAGCAGTGTTTAGAGGGAAATTTATAGCACTAAAGGCCCACAAGAGAAAGCAAGAATGATCTGAAATAGACACCCTAACATCACAATGAGAAGAACTAGAGACACAAGAGCAAACAAATTCAAAAGCTAGCAGAAGGTAAGAAATAACGAAGATTAGAGCAGAACTGAAGGTGACAGAGACAGGAAAAACCCTTCAAAAACTCAATGAATCCAGGAGCTGGTTTTTGTTTTTGAAAAGATCAACAAAATAGACCACTAGCCAGATTAATAAAGAAAAAAAGAGAGAAGAATCAAATAGACACAATAAAAAATGATAAAGGAAATACTGCCACTGATCCCACAGAAATACAAACTACCATCAGAGAATACTGCAAACACCTCTATGCAAATAAACCACTAAATCTAGAAGAAATGGATTAATTCCTGGACACATATGCCCTCCCAAGACTAAACCAGAAAGAGTTGAATCCCTGAATAGACCAATAACAAGTTCTGAAATTGAGGCAGCAACTAATAGCCTACCAACCAAGTCCAGGACTGGACAGATTCACAGCCGAATTCTACCAGATGTACAAAGAGGAGCCGGTACCATTCCTTCTGAAACTATTCCAAATGATACAAAAAGAGGCAATCCTCCCTAACTCATTTTACAAGGCCAGCATTATTCTGATACCAAAACTAGGCAGAGACACAATAAAAAGAAAATTTTAGGCCAATATCCCTGGTGAACATTGATGCGAAAATCCTCAATAAAATACTGGCAAACAATCCAGCAGCACATCAAAAAGCTTGTCCAAACCAACACCAAAACAGATATATAAATGAATGGAACAGAACAGAGGCCTCAGAAATAATACCACACATCTACAACCATCTGATCTTTGACAAACCTAACAAAAACAAGCAATGGAGAAAAGATACCTTATTTAATAAATAGTGTTGGGAAAACTGGCTAGCCATATGCAGAAAGCTAAAACTGAATCCCTTCCTTACACCCACTTTGTGTAAGGAAGTGGGTGAAGGATATTAACATATACTTCTCAAAAGAAGACATTATCAGTGGTCATTAGAGAAATGCAAATCAAAACCACATTGAGATACCATCTCATGCCCATTAGAATGGTGGTCATTAAAAAAAAAAATCAGGAAACAACAGATGCTAGAGAGGATGTGGAGAAATAGGAATGCTTTTACACTGAATGGGAGTGTAAATTAGGTCAACCATTGTGGAAGACATTGTGGTGATTCCTCAAGGATCTAGAACTAGAAATACATTTGACCCAGCAATCCCATTACTGGGTATATATCCAAAGGATTATAAATCATTTTAATATAAAGACGCATGCACACATATGTTTATTGTAGCACTGTTCACAATAGCAAAGATTTGGAACCAACCCAAACGCCCATCAATGATAGACTGGATTAAAAAAATGTGGTACATATACACCATGGAATACTATGCAGCCATAAAAAAGATGAGTTCGTGTCCTTTGCAGGGACATGGATGAAGCTGGAAACCATCATTCTTAGCAAACTAACACAAGAACAGAAAACCAAACACTACATATTCTCACTTATAAGTGGGAGCTGAACAATGAGAATACATGGACACAGGGAGGGGAACATCACACACCAGGGCCTGCTGGTGGGTGGGGAGATAGGGGAGAGATAGAATTAGGAGAAATACCGAATGTAGATGATGGGTTGATGGGTGCAGCAAACCACCATGGCACATGTAACAAACTTGCACATACTGCACATGTACCCCAGAACTTAAAGTATAATAATAATAATAATAAAAGAACAAATCTGGAGGCATCACATTACCTGACTTCAAACCATGCTACAAAACTATAGTTATCAAAACAGCATGGTACTCAATAAAAATAGGCATATAGACTAAGGGAACATAATGAAACAGAATAGATAACCCAGAAATAAAGCCAAATAATCACAGCCAACTCATCTTTTACAAAGTAAACAAACACTAAAGTGGGGAAAGGACACCTTAGTCAACAAATAGTGCTGGGATAATTGGCAAGTCACATGTAGAAGAATGAAACTGGATCTTCATCTCTCACCTTATGATCAAATACTTAGAAATCTAACACCTGAAACTGTAAAAGTTCTAGAAGATAACATTGGTAAAGCTCTTCTGGACACTAGCTTAGGCAAAGACTTCATGACCAAGAATCCAAAAGCAAATGAAACAAAAACAAATTATATTACATATATTATCTATTTATGATGGAACTTAATTAAACTAAAAAGCTTCTGCACAGCAAAAGAAATAATCAGCATAGTAAACAGACAACCCAGAGAGTGGGAGAAAATCTTTCCAAACATGCATCCAACAAAAGACTAATATCCAGAATATACAAGGAAGTCAAAGATATCAGCAAGGAAAAAAACATAATCCCATCAAAAAGTGGGCTAAGAACATGAACAATTCTCAAAAGAATATATACAAATTGCCAATGAAAAAATGCTCAACATCACTAATTATCAGAGAAATGCAAATTAATACCACAATGGGATACCTACCTTACTCCTGCAAGAATGGCCATAATTAAAAAATAAAAAAATCATAGATGTTGGTGTGGATGTGGTGAAAGGGAATGTTTTCTTTTATACTGCTGGTGGGAATGTAAACTAGTACAACCACTAAGGAAAATAGTATAGAGATTCCTTTTAGAACTAAAAGTATAACTACCATTTGACCCAGCAATCCAACTACTGGGTATCTACTCAGAGGAAAAGAAGTCATTATATGAAAAAGATATTTGCACACGTGTTTGTAGCAGCACAAGTTGCATTTGCAAAAACATGGAACCAGCCTAAATGCCCATCAACCAACAAGTGGTTAAAGAAAATGTAGTATAAATAAACCAGGGAATACTACTCAGCCATAAAAAGGCATAAAATGATGCCATTCATAGCAACCTGGATGGAGTTGGAGACCATTATTCTAAGGGGAGTAACTCAGGAATGGAAAACCAAATATCACATGTTCTTCATGTTAAGTGAGAGCTAAGGTATGAGGATGAAAGGCCTAAGAATGATACAATGAATTCTGGGGATTCAGGGGGAAGGATCCCAAAGTTCCTTCCCCAGTGGGACAAGGGTAAGGAATATAGGAGTACACATTGGGTGCAGTGCACACTGCTTGGGTATTGAATGCACCAAAATCTCAGAAATTACCACTAAAAGACTCGTCTGTGCAACAAAAAACCACCTGTTCCCCCTAAACTATGGAAATAAAAAATGTATAATTTATGGAAACAGATAAACTATTAGACCTTTTTCTTTAGTATAATACATAATTCTAATTTAATTATCAAAATCCTTTATTTTTATATCACTATATCTTGGTAATCATGTTTATATATCACTATTGAAGATAGACTATTGAGTTTCCTTATTACCCTAAATATTCACTATACTAGATATTGCTGTTTGGTCTCAAGAGAATGGATCCTTAAACAGACTCACTCTTCTAATGATCGATCTAGTCCTCGGTCAGGAGATCGATGGTGAGCACGTTCTGGTGAATGACATTTTGTATTTGGCTTCATTGTAGAACTCATATGATAAGCAGTACTTGAGTAATTTTGGCGGCGAAGTTCTTGCACGGCCCTCTCCCTAAAGCAAAATAGTGATGCTTTAAAATTTTATATCCAGCAAAATTATTAAAAGTATAATAAAACTGTAGCTCAATTTATACTTTAAAATCTAACATCACAATTAAACTAAAACCTAAGAAATAATGCTTTCCATGCTGGAAAGGATTGTTTTTGAGCTTGCATCAAGATAAATTTACCTTTCAAAGCGCTCTGTTCCTAGTTGTCTTTTGGTAATGTCTAAATCAGCTTCCAATTGTGTGACAGCATTTCTGAACTGGGCCACATCTCTACTCTGGATGGCCCTATTTAAAAGAAGACAAGAGTTACAGTTGACTAAACTTAAAGTGTGGCTATGATTCCTGGGGTACACGAAACCATATTTACAGTGGTTTCTCAGCTGGTTCCAAATCACAATGTGATTTTCATGGCCAGATTTATTAGTGCATCTAAAATATGCCAATGTTAGAGATATGGTAAGTATGCAAAGTAGACTACTTGAAAAGCCTAAGCAATCCCAGTCTCATGCAATTAAACCTTCTCTGTTTCAGTTTCCCTGTGGGATCACATTATATATCATCTATCTATACTATTTACTATAAATAGCTTTTATCACATTATATATCATCTATCTATACTATTTACTATAAATAGCTTTTTATGTAAGTACTTAGAGGTATTATATAAAGTAGTAGTATGATCGAATAATTAACACTGGAATTCACTAGCTCCATGATTAATATGATGTGTTTTATATATATCTATTCAACCAAGTGCCTTATAATAAAATCTGATATACATACACAATATTCAATTTAATAGGAACTTCCTTAAGGCTAAACAATGGCTCAAAAACCCTTTGATAAGGCACAATATCATAAGAGAGATAAACATTGATGAATGTCATTCACACAGAACATTCTATCCTCTTTGCTTGCTTTCAGGATAGTATCATAGGCTGCTGAAATCTAAACTTTAAAGATTAATAACATAAACATTTCTCATGTTAATTCTACATGTTAGTATTTACCAATCAGTCTAAAACAGAGCATAGCTGTTAGGGTGGAAGTTTTGGCACATTTCACTAAGGTAGATTTCCACCTACCACCTTGAGAAAGTAATCCTGCAAAACCAGTTGAAGTAATCATAATAGTCTAGCTGTCATAATGGAAAAGAATGACTCAGTCACTGCCACCATAACCTGAAAAAGAGGAAACTGGCCCTGGCTCTGAGGCCCTTGCCTAGTCAGCGGTTCCTAGGAATGGCTGACTGCAGAGACCATGTTTCTTATCCTTCCCCATATCCTGAGCTCTTATGCGAAGACAAAGTGGAGGCTGGATGGAAAGTGTTATAGATGGGATAGGTAAGGACAGATGTTAAGGGTCCCCTATCAGTTTTTGTGAGAGGTGACCAAGTTTAATAGAAAAAAAATCACTATAAAGGCAGGCATTTCAACCCAATTCTCCAGCCAAAGGTCTTCTATAAGGTGCTAGGAGTGCTAGAGATCCAAAAAAAAGAAGCCAAAATCAATGTCCTGGGAAGTCTTCTGTATTTTGTGAATGCAGGTGTTCTTCTAGGTACCCAGTACACATTATAGGTACAAAAGAAAATATGGCACGGCAAATGCAAACATTGGCTTGCAATATCTTGGTCTAAATATGAACATTCTTCTGGTTTCAGACTGCTTATTTTTTTCTTATTTTGTTATATTTCCTAAAGGCAATATTTTAGATCAGATGTTCTATTATACTCAAAACTCTGTTGGAAAGAATAGAGATCATTAAATTTAGATAAGAAAAATACAATAGCAAAAGCACTAACTCTTAGGCAAATCATAATATTTCTGATCCTCTGTTTAATTAATGGCATATGAGAGGCAAATTCTCTAAATTCTAGTTTTAAAAATCTACTAATCTATAAAGACCAGAAATTTAAGATGTATAATTTTACATTGCTAAACAACTCACATTTTATTTTCTGCAAAACAAAGGTGTTCCTTAAGAAGCTGAATTTCAGATTCTTTTTCTTGAAGTGCTATCTGAGACTGATATTCTTTGTCTCGATTGGCCACCAGCAAAGCTTCTAGATTCTGCATGGAGATTCTCTCATTTGTCATCTGACTCCTCAGGAGTTCAATTTCAGAACGAGCAGAATCTAACTCATTCTCCATCTGTACAATAATAAAAAGATATCTATACTTGTTCCCATTACTTTACTTAACTATTATATTATCAGGGACTCACAAAATTTTCATAATCTGTTATAAACTGGCAAATACTTTTAATGTGATTCGAAATTGTGTCCCTCCTTCTCACCAAATAAACACACCACACATGTATGTATAGTATCACTTTCTCCATCTCTTTGATCACATCAGAAAATTCCTTAAGAAAAGGCTTATTAATTTCAAACTGCAACCAGTTTCTACTACCAGCTTTGATATTTCTTTATATACTCCTGCAAGACTGACAGGACGATGTCTATGAGTACTGCTTTGTCCTGAGTCAGGTGAGCTACATGCTTATTAGAATGTCATTGGACTCCATAATTAAGGAATATAAGGAGTAATTATACATTCCTTCCTTGTATAAACTTGTGGAAAGCTTCCTTTTTTGAAAGTTATCTTGATAGTCCCAGCTACTTAGGAGGCTGACACAGGAGAATTGCTTGAACCAGGGAGGCAGAGGTTGCAGTGGGCTGAGATCGTGCCACTGCACTCTTGCCAGGGTGACAGAGTCACCTTTTTAAAAGAAAGTTTTTCATCTTTTTAAAAGAAAGTTATCTTGAGCCTTAAAATATTCCTTGTGACACAATTGGTTTTTCAAAAGGAGGAAGAACAATCACTAGTAAAAAAAATATTCCTTATCTTGTAATGTACATAATAAATCTTATATGCATTTAAAAAGTTAAATGTGAAAAGGTAAACTTTAAATTCCAGTAAAAGAAATAACAGTGAAATTACAGGGAAAGGAGATAGGCAAGCAGGGAAATAATTTTCTAAGCTAGATACAATGCAAAAAAAAAGTGTGGTCACATTAAAAAAAAAACAACACATTTTGATAGTCAATATGAACTTAACGAAAATTTGAAAGGAAACAACTGGAAGACAAATAAACTTAGTAAATAAGGTTAATTGTTTATATCTCTACTAACGTAAAGAACTCATATGAACTGATGAGAAATATGAGCTAAATGATAATGATCAGAAAATTTACTAAAGAAGAAATAAAATTGAATTGTAAACATATGGGGAAATTTTACCCTTAATAGTAATAAAATAAATTAGAACAAGATGCCATTACTAGTTCGGGGTTCACCTCCTCCCAGCCCCTGCCCAGGGACGGAGTCTTGCCCTGTCGCCTAGGCTGGAGTGCAGTGGTGCGATCTTGGCTCACTGTAACCTCTACCTCCTGAGTTCAAGCAATTCTGCCTCAGCCTCCTGAGTAGCTGGGATTAGAGGCATGCACCACTACACCCAGCTAATTTTTATATTTTTAGTAGACGGGGTTTCACTGGGTTAGCCAGGATGGTCTGGAACTCCTGATCTCGAGATCCACCCATCTCAGCCTCCCAAAGTGCTGTGATTACAGCGTGAGCAACTGAGCCCGGCCCAGGGTTTTTTTTACCTTGACATTACTGATCTTTTGGGTTGGATCATTACTTGGAGTGGGGGCAGCACTATGCGTTACAGGATGCTTAGCAGTATTCCTGGCCTCTGCCCAATCGATGCCACCAGCATTCCCTACTCTAGTCATGACCATTAAAAAGGTCATTATTAAATGCACACTGGGAGCAAAATCTCTTTCAGCTGAACCAGAAAAAACTCTACCAAAGACACTGTTCTAATCTATCTAGTGGAAAAATGTGTTAGTTTGTGTTAACGAACATTACATTGGGCAATGGCAATCTCATATACTTTGCTGGCAGGAGTAGAAAATGAACCATGATTTTTTTTTGATAATAGCTTTTTTGATGTAATTCACATGGCATCAATTATTTTTAGCATATTAACACAGTTGTACAATCATTACCACAATCTAATGTTAGAACTTTTTCATCATCTCAAAAAGAAACTCAGTGTCAAGCATGGTGGCTAAAACCTGTAATCCCAGCACTCTGGGAGGCCAATGTAGGCAAATTGCTTCAGTTCAGGAGTTCGAGACCAGTCTGGGCAACATGGTGAAACCCCATCACTACAAAAAATACAAAAACTTAGCCAGCCATGGTGACATAGGCCTGTAGTCCCAACTAGTCAGGAGGCTGAGGTGAGAAATCACCTGAGCCCGGGAGGTCGAGGCTACAGTGAGCCAAGATAGCACCACTGCATTCCAGCCAGGGCTACTGGAGGAGACCATTATCTCAAAAAAACAAAAACTAAAACAAAACAAAAAAACAACACAGAACACTCTGTGGCCCTAGGCAACCCCTAAACTATTTTCTACTATTTGCCTCATTCTGGATATTTCATATACACAGAAACAAACAATGTGTATGTGGTCATTTGTGACTGGATTCCTTTATTAGCATAATGTTTTTAAGAATTGTCAATGTTTTAGCAAGTATCAAAATTTCGTTACTTGTATTGCCTAGTAACACTCCATTGCATAGATAAACCACAGATCTATTCATGAGTTAAACATATTTGGCTTATTATACCTTGGGACTAATATAAATAATATTGCCATAAAGATTTGTATACAAGTTTTTGCATGGACATGTTTTCCATTACTCTTTAACACACAGAAGTGACATTTATGAGCTGTATGGTAATCTAATTTTTAACATTTTGAGGAACTGCCAAAATGATTTCCAAAGTTGCCTCAATATTTTACATTTCCACCAGCAATATATGAAGGTTTCACTTTTTCCACATTTTTGTCAACATTTTTTATCTTCTCTGTGACTATAGCCATCCTAGTTGTTGTGAAATAGTATGATTTTGATTTGCATTTTTCTATTAATGATGTTCAGCATCTTTTCATTGTTAAGATGGCGTTACTCCCAAAATTGATCCACACATTTAAGGCAGTGCTTTATCAGAATCCCAGGTGTCTTCTTTGTAGAAACTGTTAAACTGATCTAAAACTCATATGGAAGTGCAAGTGACCCAGAATTGCCAAAATCTTGAAAAAGAAAAACTTGAGAGAATCACACTTCCTGATTTCAAAGCTGGCTGCAAAACTAAAGTAATCAGCATGATACTAGTATAAGGAAAGACATAGAGTTTGATGGAACAGAATTCAGAGTCCAGAAATGGTTTATACATTCGTGTTCTGACCCACGAACATGGGATGTGTTTCCATTTATTTAGGTCTCCTTTAATCTCTGTTAAAATGTTCTGTAGTTTTGTAACTTCTTTTGTTAAATTAATTCCTAAGTGTTTGTCCCTTTTTTCTTTTTTCTTGGAGACAGAGTCTTATTCAGTCACCAGGCTGGAGTGCCGTGGAATGATCTCTGCTCACTGCAACCTCCGATTTCCTGGTTCAAGCAATTCTCCTGCCTCGGCTTCCTGAGTAGCTGGGATTATAGGCATCCACGCCCAACTAATTTTTGCATTTTTAGTAGAGACAGTTTCGCCATGTTGGCCACAATGGTCTCAATCTCCTGACCTCGTGATCTGCCCGCCTTGGCCTCCCAAAGTGTTGGGTTTACAGTGAGCCACAGCACCCGGCTGTATTTATTCTTTTTTAATGTTACCCTTTTTGATGCAATTCAATTTGATAGAATTGTTTTCTTATTTTCATTTTCAGATTGTTCATTGTTATTGTATAGAAATAAAAAATACAATAATTGGATATTGATCTTGTATCCTACAACCCTGATGCTCATTTATTATTTCTAGTAGTTTTTTCATTGATTCTTAGGATTTTCTGTATTTCAGATCATGTCACCTGCAAACAGAGATAGTTTTACTTATTTTCCATTCTGGATGCCTTTTATTTCTTTTTCTTGCCTAATTGCCCTGCCTAGAACCTCTGCTACAATGTTAAATAGAAAAGGCAAGGTTGGTATTCTTGTCTTGAAACTGATCTTAGGGCAAAAGCATTCTACCAGGCTTGCTGTGCGGTTTTCACAGGTGCCCTTTATGAGGTCAAGAAAGTTTCTTTCAATTCATAGTTTGTTTATACACTGTTTTTATAAAGGCAAGAATGTTGGATTTTACCAAATGCTTTTTCTGCATCCATTGAGGCCGTGTGGTTTTCATTCTTGATTCTATTGATATGATGATATATTAATTGATTTTCAGGTATTACACTAACCCAGCATTCATGGAATAAACCCTACTTGAGGGTGTAGATTTCTTTTTTTTTTTTTTTTTTTTTTGCATTTTAGGTTTTGGGGTACATGTGCAGAACAGGCAAGATAGTTGCATAGGTACACACATGGCAGTGTATTTTGCTGCCTTCCTCCCCTTCACCCACATTTGGCATTTCTCCCCAGGCTATCCCTCCCCAGCTTCCCGCCCCCACTGTCCCTCCCCTATTCCCCCCAATAGACCCCAGTGTGTAGTACCCCCTTCCCTGTGTACATGTGTTCTCATTTTTCCTCACCCGCCTATGAGTGAGAATATGCGGTATTTGTCAGTTTGTTGAGAATGATGTTCTCCAGATTCATCCATGTCCCTACAAAGGACACAAACTCATCATTTTTGATTGCTGCATAATATTCCATGGTGTATATGAGGGTGTAGACTTCATTTTATGTGTTGTTGGATTCAGTTTTATAGTATTTTCTTGAGAATTTTTCATCTGTATTCATAAGAGATACTGGTCTGCAGTTTTATTTTTCCTGTGAGGTCTTTGTCTGGTTTTGGCCTCACGGCAATAATGGCTTCATAGAATGCATTGGGAAATGTTCTCTGCTACTTTTGGAAGTTTGCAAAAATTTTGGATAAATGCATCTTGAATCATTTGGAAGAATTCACAACTGAAGCCATCTGGGCCTTGATATTACTTTATGGAAATTTAAAATTTTCTATTTTGACCTCTTAAGTTGTAGGTTTATTCAGATTTTCTACTTTTCTTTCAGTCAGATTTAATAGTCTGTGTTTTTTTGGAAACTTGTGGATTTCATCCAAGCATTTAATTTTTGGCATTCAATTCTTCATAATATTCCCCTATGACACTTTTTTACTAGGATAGTAGTGATGTCTCTTCTCTTATTCCCGAT